TTATGGAAATTAGTTAATTTGATGAGGCAAATTAAAAACGATGATGAAGTTGGCTTCAACAAGCTGAAATTAATAATATTACTTAAGGTGATTGAAAACAGAGCCTTGTTCTTTTGAATTTGTAAGGTTTAAGGTACATTTTAATATTACCTACCTTGCTTAATTGAAAAAAAACACACCGTTTACAATTCTAAGGTCTACATAAATACATGTTGGGTTTTGAGAATATTTTTAAAGGCTGGATAACTTGTTAAACTTTGCGTTGCTTTCTTTTTGAAATTTTAATGATAATTATTAAGGAACTCTTCAATTTTCAACAATTAAAGGATGTTATAAAGCATTTCAATATTAATAAAATTGGGTGTAAAAGTATTATTGGTTGCTTAGTGATTCATATAAGCATGGGGATGATTTATAGGTTTCATATTCATTTCGTATGTTTTATTGCAATTGTTGGTCAATTTGACCGCTACAATGCCAATGGCCCGATGCTGTCAATTAGCCGAGAATACAATTGTGAACTCAAATTGTTGAATGCCCAGCAACAGCAGCGATAATTCCAACTACGATGAAGTTTAGTTAATATTATCATATGTAGTTGTTATTGCTGACGCGTGCGCAACCATGTGAAGCGACGTCGACGTCGACGCCGGCAGAGAGTTGCCCCAGAGCAGAGTTGACATGGCAGTGAGCGTGAAAAATAAATAAATAATACAATCAAAGGGGGCAGCTAAGCCCGCGACTCTTCAATGTTGAGCAAACAATACACAGATACACAGAGAGGAAATACAACTCAATATTGTGATCAATTGGGTGTTAAATAAATATGGCAATAATCTAGTTGATACAGTAATTTTATATTCATAAAACCAAAATAATTACTATAAACTAAGAGACTTATATGTAATGTCAAAATAATATTGTTTAGCAAAATATTTATAAAAAGGCGGTAATAACAAAATTCATTTCAATGATTTTAAAATATTATGCAGATTTCAAAATTATAAGAAGTATATGTAAATAACATAATTTTTACAAAATGCATATATACAAATACACAAATACATATATAGTAAACCATTATTTTATTGTTAATTGGGTTTTTAATTAATGTCATTGAAGCTAATTTATTCTTATATTTCTAAAATCATTATTTCTTTTTTCCTTTTATTGATTATAAACATTGTTCTTTAAAGTAAACTTTTAAAAACCAACAATTACATTTAATTAAATTTTAATTACCTAAAAAAATATAATAATAAGATATATAGGCATATTTTCTTTGCGTGTAGCAGCAGCAACAGTAGCAGCAACAAGCAGCAGACAAAGCAGCAACAAAAGCAACTCCAATAACACTAACAATAACAGAAAACAGAAAACTCTTAATCATGAGTGGCGTTTGTCGTTTTGTTGGGAGCAGCGCAGTTGGCGCAACGTTTTTGCATAGGAATCGACTGCGGATTTGGAGTTTGGATTTTTTTTGGCCAGCCAGCCAGCTAACATTTGCGTCGCCGGCGTCACGGAGCGCGGACGCGACAAACGCGACATTGCCGAACGGAAACCGGAAAGCGGGTTTCGAAAACATAATAATCACATAATAATACTGGTCGAGCAGAAGAAAGAACTTTCGGGGTGGGAAACGCAACGGAGAGTCGGGAAAAAATGGCCAGTTGTGCGCCGGTGATCGTGTGGAACGGTGCTCAGTTTACGGCCAGCAGCAGGGAACTGGAGCAGCTGCGTCGGGACTACGGTCTGGATGCCCGGATGTTGGAGGCCACCCTGGTGCCGCGATACAAGCGCCACAAGCCGCAGGCAGCAGCCCGCAACGATCACGTCCGCGTGACCAAGGAGCAGCAGCAGTCATCGGATTGGATACTGAAGCAGGATCGCAACACGAACGTCAGTCAGGTGAACTTCCATCCCTGGGCGGGTGCCCACTTCGACTTGGTGCCCTGGCGACGCACTCGCTCCGCCCTGGACCTCACCTCCATAGCGGACTACAACCACGGCCTGGTCGACCCCAAATCGCTCAAGGGTCTGGAGAAGTTGGAGCTGAGGCAGCAGCGACGCCGTTTGCAACGTGCCCGGTCCACGCATCAGGGTCTGCGGCGATTGGTCCGTGTCCGTCTGATCTTCTCCATCGAACTACGGCACAAGCGGATGGAGGTGCTCCGCAAGAGTGCTTTGCCCGCCAGGGTTTTCGAGCAGCGTTTCGCCCTCTCCGAGAACGAGAGTGCCGCCTACGAGCGCATCCTGCTCGACGCCAATGCCGGAGTGGAACAGCATGTGGGCTACTTTAGCAAGCGGCAATTGCATCAGGATGCCAGCGAGGAACTGGTCGTGGACTTTGCCAGCGAAACGGAGGCTGAGGCGGAGGCGGATAAGCCAGAGGATCAGGAGAAGGAGAAGGAGGAACCCCGGTATGCCACCATATCACCGCCGGAAAAGGGAGGCAGTGCAGCCATGCCAAAGTTGAAGGAAGGCGGCCAGGTGCCATGCGTCAAGTGCCGCGACATTGCCATCAAATTGAGGTAAAAGAAATCGCCAGAAATGAACAAAAAAAAACGCCAAACCAGAACACACAAATTGAGCTTTAAAATAGATGAGCGCCAAAATCAATTAGCCACAGTGGAGTGTGGATAAATAGATGACTAAGAGAATCTGGAAAAAATATTGACAAATATGTTGTGCAAACAATTAAAATTTTTTTTTTAAGTGCAACAAAGTGTCCTGTTTTTAGAGTCTTATAACTCCTAAGAAACGATTATATAGCAGATTTCGTACAAAGATGTTTTACATTTAATAGAGAGTTAAAAAATACTGTCTATAAGCAGGAATTGAATGGTTTAATTTTAAACCGAGAGAGAGTCACATTTAGTATACAATCTATTTTCACATATATACTCAAATTGAAATCAGGAATATTGCTGATTTTTGTTATTGATTAATCCATCGGGTTTTGTGCAAACTCTTTTGCTTCCAGAGAGTCAGGCAAATTTCCCACCAACTTTCAGTGTTTCCCATTCCACAAAAACCCGCAGATCTGCACGAGTATAATTTCTTGAATGATTATTTTCTTCCGTTCTCTGTTCTTCCACTTATTCCAAGCTTTCGCCTCTGATAATCCCCTTCCTCTCCGATATATCTTCTCTGGGATATCTAACTGCCAATAGATTTTTAAAGACGTTTTGTGGCTGGGTTTAAATGTAAAATGTCTAACTAACGTACTTAAAAAGCCATAGATTATTTTCTTTATTGAAAACTTATCGATGCATAAAGATGAATGATTAATAGTTAAGTATTTTGTTTTGAGGAATGAAATTTTTACTCATATAATTTATTAGTATGCCTTTGAAAAGTAGCTAATTTTACAGCATTATTCGCTTGGCCGCCTACTATACTCATTAGTGTTTGAAATAAAATTTTTTTTTGCAATTTTTGCAATTGGATTAATTAAATACATACATTTTTCAAATATGTGAACAGTAAATCAATAAATCGTTTAGTTAATTTCACTAAGAAAAGGAAAAATTTCTATAAACAAATTTAAACTAACCACAGAAAGACTAAAGTCAATAAGCCATATTATTAAATCATTTTATGAAAGTTTCTCTATTGGCTTTTCGTATTATATCACAAACTAGGGATCAGTTGGGCCGCGCCTCTTAACACCCTTAAAGATCATAATTTTCTTAGCCCCCTTTGCCACTTTGCCACTTTGGTTGACCAACTGGCCTGCAATGCTATTGCCAAATCGCTTATTTCACTTCGCTTTTTTCTCAGCTGAATGTTTTTGTGGGTTTTGTCAGATTTTGTTGGCTTTGGCTTTGTGGTTTTTGTGGGATTTTGTAGGGTTTCGTGGCACCTGCCCTGTTTTGTTGACACCTGCTACCGGCCCGCTTCCATTTTTCATTTGCCATTTCGACGCTGCCACCGTTGATGCAATAAACTGGAAGAAAGTGTCGTCTTCGCGGCTTTCTGTTTGGTTTTTGTTTATGCTGCCACAGGTGGAAAGCAGCGACAAACGAGATACAACAGCCCACAAATGCCTGGTATTTTCGCTTCTCAGCTTTCAATTAATTTGTCACCGTGTGTATTGTTTCTTTTAGCATTATCATTATGATTGTTTTGCTGCCGCGGAAACGGCAATCAAGTGAGTCAGCAGCAGACTTGACCTGGTTTAGTGATTCGGAAAAGGGCACCCAGTGAATCCAAGTGAAGCCAAAGATGCGCAGATAGATGCAATTATAAATAATTGCCAGCACATCGCCTGGTTAATTAATAAATTACGGGTTGTGCCTAAATGGCTGTCAAACACATAGTTATTTAATGTATAAAAAGCGAAACAAATTAAATAAATTGTCTGCTCAAGACAAAAGTGTTTTTTTAGCCATTACCAAAAGAAATACAAAGCACATAAATGTCAATTTTATTTATTTATATTTTTTATTGTCCCAGGTTCTCGTAGTTAAGCGAATTTGGTATTGGTTCCTATTTTTATTTCCCAAAAATCTTTTATTTTTGGTTAAAATAATTATTTCAACATATTTTTATATATTTTTTTGAAGTTTTTTATCTGTTGTTTTGTTTTCAAGTTTCTGTCTTAAGTCTTTCGTTACGCCTGCAGGAAAGTTGACTGCAATTTTTCTTATAACGCAGACCAAAAGTAGGCAATATTTTCTTGAGCAACTGTTACTTTTGTATGCAGTTTTTAAGTTGTGAATCCTGTTTTAAGCTTACCTATTTGGTAAGACCTTATATTTTCAGTTAGTACTTTATGTTCATTTATTTAAGGGGATCTTAGATGTACACAAAACTAAACTAAACAGTTTATTAAAAATAGTTAAAAGTTATATTTAAGTTTTTATGTACAACAATTTTTTTACAGTTTTGAGTGTTTTCATAAAGAAAATTACACAACAAAATTTTTAAACTTCAATACCAAAAAGTTATCTATATAAACAAATTTTAAATGTATAAATATTCTTTGTTCCTTTCAGAACCATAAACGATTATGCGCTCAACTCGAATCTGCACCTGAACCACAGCAACAAACTGAACAATCTGCACGGCAGCAAGCTCCTGCACAGCAACCAAAACCACAGCAGCAATAGCAGCATCAATCCGAGCAGAATGCACGCCCACCAGCTGGACTCCTACCTGGGCGGAGTGGGCGGTATGATGAATCTGGGGAGCATGGGCCAGCAAATGGGCCAGATGCACCATCCGGGGAGCGTTTCCGGCAGCGAAAGACCCAACGGAGGAGCTCTGGCCCTTCACTATGCCGCCGCACGTGGCTGCCTCGATTGCGTCCAACTGCTGGTCGCCGCATCCGTGGATATTTGGTGAGTGGATGACCAAGTTTAGTATATAGTATGTGGCCAAAACTTGCATCGCGATTCGAGTGCGGGGTGAAAGCTTTTTTTCACCCGTTCTTTGTGTTTATGTGTCGGGGAAATCGATCGCCGGGCTCCAATTTGTATTTTATTATTTCCTCGATTTGTCTGCATTTCCATTCGATGCAGTTTCTTTCCATTTACCATCGACAATTATTCTCATTAGGGGTTTGCTTATCTGATTCGATTAGTGTAGAAGCCGAAACAAGTGGCTAATTATTTGAGGAAAAAATCAGAGCTAACTTGTTTGTGCAAAAAAAAAAACCTTACCTTGCGTAGTAGGGACTTAAATGAATCAAGTATCCACGATAAATTAAAGTTTATAATCTATATTAGACAAGATAAGCACATAAAAAGTATTCTTAAGTCCATTTATTTTGCTCCATTTACAGTTCGGATTTTATGATAATTTTATTGCAATAATTTAAGTTTCTTAAGTCTCTGTAACGATCTGATTATCATAAACTAAATCAACGAAGAGTTTATTTGTGAAATTATTATCTGCCCGTTGTGCTGGGAGCAGTCAATTAAATGCACTAATTAAAACATATTAGCTCATCCAACAAGGTAGAAAGAATGGAGGCGAGTTAAGAGTGGCGGAAATCTATGAAAGGCTAGGAAAGGCTAAGAAAACTTGGCGAAACTTGGTCGGAAAACTCGCGGCCAAGTGGGCCAGCGATCCGTGGCCGGTGTTTTGACTCACCTAAATTCCTCTGCTCCAACAGCAGCACGCGTCCAAAGCTGATTCATTTAATTGGGAAATGAGAATGGGAATGGGAATGGGAGTCCAAGTGGCCAAGCGGCCAAGGCGAGCCAGCCAAGCGAGATGCATCCTCCGTGCTCCAATCCCCTCGAAACGCATCCCATCCCATCCCATCCCATCCCATCCGAAACCATCCAATGCAATCCAATCCAATCCAATCGAGTCCAGGCCAGGTTTGGTTCTATCGTGTGCTATTTTCAATTGGAGTCAAACTGGAAAACTCACAGCCTCACAAAGCACCGTTTCAACGAGTTTTCCCCACTCGACACTCGCCACGAAGTGGAGCAGCCTCGGACTTGGCCAAGGAATCAGAATCGGACTCAGAATCAGAATCAGAATGAGAATGCGAATCGGTGGCACAGCCTGATCTCCGCCTGCCGTACCATTCCTCCACTCCCCTCCCCTCCCCTCGATCGCCTACTAAAATTCATATTTACAAAGCGCCAAGGAAGATCAATTGACATGACAGCTGACACAGCGACACAGAAAGCAACGAGAGGCGAGAGCGAGGGCAGATCCAATAATGTCACAAGATATTCCACAAAAAAAACTATGAAAACCGCTTTAGAATTCATTGTAATTTGTTTCCGAATTATTCAAATACCTATTTTTTAATTGAGGCTTAAAGTAATGAAACTGTACGAACATGTATGATAAATTAAAATTTTTGTTTTGAGTTAAGAACGAAAACAAAAAATATATTTTTCAATATTTTATGTTGGCCCTATTAAATTTTAAAACCAAAAAAAAAGTTTTCGAATTTCTGAAGGTTAAGTTCTGTACAAAAATAATGTTAAAAACTGTTTAAGATCAAATACGATCGAGAGATATCAATTATTCTTAAAAAAAAATTAAAAATAAGCATATCCAAAGAAATTATAGTTATTTAGACAAAATATTAAATATTTATATTTTGTATTTTTCTTGACAATATTTCAACCTGCCCTCGTTTTAAACCGTTTGATAGTTTTGCGTACAAAGACACCTCGCTTAAGACAGCTGGTGCTTCTTGTGTTGATATTGCACAGAAGAAAGCGAGGGCAGATTTATTAGTTTGGTTTTTAATTTTGTTAATGAAACTATTAAAAGTATGTTTCTTTTTTATTCAATTTCATTTAAATTTTATTACATAGATTAACCTTTAAAATTCATTTTTTGAATAACTTAATGGAAGTACTGTTTAATCCTGTTTACATATCTTATTATTTTCAACTTGTAAATCATAGTGAATAGGACTATATTTTTGGGATGCTTGACCATCCCATATTACTTTTCATACTTTATAATATTTTAGAATGTAAGTAAAACGTATTTTAGACCAAGCTCTATTGGTTTTGAAGACATTTAAGCAAATGTTAATAATGTGTTAATACAATGAGGGGGGCGTAACAGTTTAATTGTTACTTACATCCGTTTGCTTTCCTTTGACCTGTCAATCCGCCCTCGCTGCTGGCCATTTGATAATATTGCGTTTGGCGACAGCTCGGTGTCAAGCTATCTGGTTTGCCCCGCCTCCCGCCCCCAAAAGAAGAAGAAGAGGAAGAAGCAACGGCGGCAACAGCAGAAGAAGAAGAGAAGGAGGAGGAGGAAGCAGTGGTTCGCGGTGGCCACTCGATGACTCGATGGCGCTTGGCGCTCGGTGGTGCTGGCTATTCGCGTTTGGCTAGTCGAGGCGAACGGTGCTTTCGTTCGTGGGCTACGTTTCCTTCGTCTTATATAGTACATATATTATATATATATTTATGTGCCTAGTGATAGTTGGTGGTGTTCAAGTTGTTACCGTTTAACAGTAACCGTTATGCGCAACAGCAGCAACATGCGGCCATAGAATGAATTTGAATTTTGATTTCAATGGTGGATTTAGTGCGGTTTCGTTTTGAAGCTCGATGCAGCAGCACGGCCACGCCCCCGCCGCCTCCGCGACTGTCCATTGGTCAGCCAGCAGCAATAGCAACATCGGCAGCAGCAACACCAGCAACATCGGCAGCCGCACCAGCAACACCAGCAACGGCAAACAAAATTTCGCGCTTCAAAGTATTTCAAATGCAGTTAACGAATCGGAACGCGAATTAATTAACAGTTTCAGTGTACCAAAGAACTGCAAGGCACAAAAAGAGCAGCAGCAACATCATCTTCGCCCCGCAAACAGTAGCCACAACATTTGGCTTAATGCCCAAGCCAACAGCAACATCCGCAGCAGCAGCAGCCGCAGCAACCGCAACCATGAAAAGGTAGCCACAGCTGCTTTTGGCCAACATTCAGTTGCCACTAATCGATTGGCCAAGGCAGCGAGGAAATTAAATGGCCACCGGGACGCCAAGGATGCCGAGCTAGAAAGCTTCTGCTATTTTTTTTGCCAGTGTGTGTTTGAGTGTGCATCCAAATGAATCAAATGCTTTGAAACATAAATGTTCGGTAATGAGTGCTTGTGCTTGGTCCTATAACATGTGAACGGAATATTAAGTGATCAGTGTTGAACCATCTGCAAAAACTATCATCAGAAATCGGATTAAGCAACTATATTTTATGAAAAGAATTTCTTTCATTGAAAACCATTAAAAGTCACAGGAATTAGAGACTATATGAACTATAACTTAGGATAAAACACTTTTTAGAATCATTTAGGCGTCCCCAAGTTAAATGGGATTTATAAAAATAACAAAATCAAAGAAAATAGACATTTTCAAATATACTGTGATAAATCGTTTTAAAAATGTATAGGCTAAAAAGTATTTTATAGATAAATTATCATTGACATAAGTTATTTAAACGAGCTTAAAGTTCAATAATTGAAAGACAATTTGTATAGGTATTACTATACTATTTACTTTCATTAATTTTCTTTAAAAATATTGGAAAAAAATAAATGTAATATAAATTTTGCATGTATTATTTGCTAATAACAATGTAGAACAGGCATAAGGGTTGATAGATAAAAAAATAATGTTTAAACATAAACTGATGAAAATAACATTTTATTATGTTTAGCATACATACATTTCAAGATGCCTAGAATTAAACAGAAAATATATATAGCCTGGCTTAGAACCAGAGCCTCTCGAAAGTAACCAAAAAGGCGTGATAATTGTCATAGAATACAAGTTGAGAAGCGGCACTCACTGCCCACATTTGCTTGGGAAATCACTTGAAGATTCCCACTAATCGCTGCGTAAGACAATCTTCATTGTGTCTGCAGATACAGAAACAAATACAGAAACAGATACAAATGTATCTTGTATCTTTGTATCTCCCTGGGGTCCATTTGTGTCACTCGCGTGGCTTTCATTCTGCATTCTCTCAGCGATGGACAATCGGCGAGTTTTGATTGTGGATCGCCAATTGTTGATGGTTGATCGTCTGTCATTGGATTCGAGCACGCAAATGTTCAATTAAATAAACGAGTCTATAACTGTCAACTGGCATTTCTAACAAGGCTCCTGCTTCGCCTCAATTATTTCGCTTTTTAATTCCATTTTCTGCTCGGCCCCCAGACACATTAAATAAATTAAAAAATAATTATTAGATTGCAAATAGAGGGAAAATCAAGACATGGCGGCGCAAAACGAAAACCGAAACACAAAAAGAGAAAAAATATTGGGAATATAGTAGTAGTAGTATATGTTTCTTACTGTATTTTCACCTACTAAAGAAGCCACAAGATACGAATACGAAAACTAAATAGACGCGAGACCGGGGGAGATAAAGATGAAAAATCAACTTTAATTGGTTTACAATTCATTTCTAAGCGAGAAAAGCTGGAAAATGTAACAAGTAGTCCGAAGTCGGACGAAGAAAGCCAAAGCCAAACTCCACTGCCGTGCGCAATATCCATGAAGTCGTAAGCCAGTTGACTAAGTGAACAGACACTCAGATACTAGTATCCGTACCCATATACTATACGCTGTACTCTATACCCATCATCATCATCATCGCCTCCGACGCCTCCGTTCGGTCCCCGAATCTTCTGGAGCACATTGGGGCGAAAGCACCGTGGGACATGGGCTAAACTTGGGTTTGGATATCAATTCTATGGCACCGATTTACCAAACCGATTGCAAAAGTTAGTTATCTCATTAACATAATAGATTTTTGGGAGTTTCGAAAACAAAGAATGTGATAGGACTGATTTAATAAGAATAGAGTTCAACAATAATATTAAATAATTCAGTAAAAATCATAACCTTCAATATTCAAAATGTTGGTAATACTTATTTTAAAGAATAAAAAAGGCAGAAAGAATGAAACAAAATTCTTAAATATAGGTTTGAAATAGCAAGTAAATATATACATAAACAATAAAAGTTAAAAAGTTGTGTAACTTAAAATCTGATTCTACAAAAGGAAGTAGTTCACCGAAAAGATACAACAATTAATGTGTTTATTGTGTCTTATAAAGTACAAAAGAGGTTTCAATTATTTTACTTAACAGTATTATCCACAAAATAGATCCAAGTAAGCTGTCAGCTGCGACTCTGGGGCAATTTGAAGTTTGAAAAGCTTGACCAAACGTTTGCCTTCGGTGGCCTGTAATTTCGGCGATGGCCAAATTGCCGTGATCACGGTGATCAGTGGCCATTATAATTCTCCCGTTGGATGAAGCGATCCACACCCACTCTTGCCCCACTGTGGCTTGTGTGGAAAGCCAGGCCAAGCAGCAGTATGAGCAGCAGTATGAGCAATTCGAGCAACACCAGCAACACCAGCAACTTGAGCAACTCGAGCAACATGTACGGCAGCAACACAAGTGGCAGACCAAGTGCCAAGACAAGTGCAGATTTCAGACTGGGAGTCAGGCGTAACTCGCCCGAGAGAAAATCTCCTCCCCTTGGCCGTTTTTTTGTTTCGCTTTTAAGCGTTAATTTCACCTAAAAAGTTTTGTACATATAGTTAGTTATATAGACATATATTATATATGCAGGCAAGAAGCAGAAGTTTGTCGAGCAGATCGAGCATCGAGGGTTTAATCACAGCTCAGCCACCGCAGAGAGCTGTCGGTAAAATGCAGACTTTCGGTTTCAGCAGGTACTTCTGTCCGGCCGTATATGATCCATAACAAAAAATCATAAAAGAAGAAAACAAAAGACCGCTACCAAAAACTCGCTATGCAAATCAAGACATTTAAGTGGTTTTTCCTCAACCAGTTCCATAAATCGAACTCATTTTTTTTGCTGCAGTGTGTGTGAGTTAGTGTAAGTGTGCTTAACGGTACAACGGAAAATCAAAGATATTGAAAAACCGGAAAAATAAAAAAAAAAAGCGCTGTGACAAACGAAAGTGAAAATCGAACGAACGGTAAGCCCAGGCGAATAAATTAAAGTCCACCAACAAAAAAAAAAAAAAATCAAACCAAACCAAAGCAAACCATGACCATGAGCACCAAAGCGCACTGCCATTGAACCCTTCAAAAAAAAAACATATATGTTGAAAGAAAGACCCACTCAAACACACACAACCCCACCGCCCCCCAGTTACTTGAACACCAAAAGCTTGTGTCACCCGTAAACCAATGCCAACCCACTTCCTCCTCCAGCTACTTCTCCACGATCAACGTTAAGAAGGGCCTCCTTGGTCGCATGACCACCAGCCTGACCTCCTACCGTCGCAGCAAGCAGAAGTCCAAGTCGAACAATGACATCCACACGATCATCGCCACGGAGGTAACGACCGCCATTCTGAGCAGCAGTGTGCACAGCAGCACGGGATCGGAGCTCGAGGAGGGTCACCCCCCAGCCGTTGCCACGCTCATCGAGGAGGTCCAGGATTCGAGGAACGAGGAGCAAGAACGGGATCGGGATAGGGATAGGGATCGGAATCGGGATAGGGATAGGGAGCAACAAAACCATCAGCAGAAGGATACCCAAATGGAGTCGCATCACCATCGCAAGGCCGCCGTGGAGGTGGTGCGCCAGCATATGCAAGACGACGAGGATCAGGACTCCAACGAGGATGACGAGGCCACGCCCATGATGAGCGGCGTGGGGCGGAAGGAGCAGAACAACCGCCGCAGCGTCGTCAGGTGGGGCACAACAAGGGGAAATTGATAATGAGTGATACGGATGACCACCCATATATTAATAAATATAAATTATATAAAAATTATATGATATTACCAAAGTCTCAAAAAATGGAACACCCACGAATAGAAAACTGTTCACTTTATCCAAATTTGTCCTACATTGTTTATGTTGTTATATTTACTCAATAACAATAAAACTAACTATTACCATAAAATAATAGAATAATAGAACAAAAAGCACAGTTTTTTGAGCAATGAAATTGTTTTTATGAAATTATTTCGATGACATTTTTTTTAAAACATTTATTTCATGGAAAAGGGTAATATTTATTGATTGAAAATAATTTAAAAATCATTAAGGAAGTCATTATATATTGCTGTCTAATAAGTATTCTTTTTGGATGACAAATAATTTAAAACCCACCATTTGGTGTGTTCAAATGTGTGTTCAGATTTTATATATAAATTAAATCTATATGTATTATCTTTATTCACTATTAAAATAATTGTTTTCAATTCACGTAATGGTCGAAAATCAATCAGAGATTTTTACCATACAACATAAATTGTGGAAACATAATACTTTATCACTTTGTGTCCATCTCATGTTTCAAAATCCCGTGTTGAAAAAAACCTTCTGTTGAATTGCAACTCTTGTTTGCTTATAAACATAATAAATTTAAAAGCACATAACAAACGTCATTGCATCCATACCGATTGCGAGTTAATCTCCGAATTTGTTACCCAATTTCGATCAATGGCCGTGGACATTTAATGGGAATACAATCGCCTTGACAGATCGGTGAATAACTTTTCCCACACATTCTCCAAAGATTACCATTCCAATAATGGTGGAGTTGATTAATCTCTGCCTACCATCTCCACTCTTTTTGTAATCGATCGATCAATGATATTCCGCAATAAAAAGAGTGGAAAACCGGTCAAAGAAGAGGAAAATGCCGAGAAGATTTTCCAGTGACCCAGTGCGTTTTCAGTGATTAACTGCAGTTATATATATAGTGTGTTATATACATATGTATGATTGCCAATGATAGGTCTTTAAAATGAGAACACTTTTTGCCATTTTCAGTGCAACTTTTTGCCCATTAAACACTTTATTTTTATAGCCTAACTGGATGGCAATTAATGTGATTGTTTTCGGTTTCTTTTCGACAAATTGCAGCGCCAATACGCAAATGGACAACGATGTCACGCCCGTTTATTTGGCGGCGCAGGAGGGCCACTTGGAGGTGCTCAAGTTTCTGGTGCTCGAGGCCGGCGGCTCTTTGTACGTCCGTGCACGCGACGGCATGGCACCGATCCATGCCGCTTCACAAATGGGCTGCTTGGATTGCCTCAAATGGATGGTGAGTGCTCCGCTTAAATTTCGGCCTTTAGTTGATCTGCAAGTTGCCAACTGCAAACTGCTAGCATGGCTAACACGACCAACTTGGCCAACTCTAGCAGGCAATGCGGGTCAATTGCCAGAGTCAACGGCACTGTCGAAAAACACTCGTTTTATTGGGGACAGATTGCTGTTATTAAAACAAGCAAATATTACAAAAAAACACTAAATTCAAATTCTCTTAAATAAATAATCTGACAATAATAGTCTATTTATTACTTATAACTAATTAGATTACGCAGTTTCAAATTTTAAATTCAATAAAATTATATAAACTTTCAAATAGAGTAATTTCAGAACAACGATTGATATATTTTTGCGACAAGAACTTATTTTCAGTGATAAATCACAAAAGTTAGTTACATTTTGATCTAATTATGTATTGTTTTGACATAGGATATTTCGATATTACAATACTCTAAATATATTTCGATGCTTTTCAATGGAGGTAGAAAATGCTTGTAAATTGTAATACCCGTTTCAAGATGATAATTTAATAGTGTTTCTTTGGCTCAGTGTGGCTAAGTAGTTGACTCTTTTTGCTAGTTTCTGTGGGTCCTGTTTCGGTGGCTTTAACGGGGTTCTCGAGTGGGATTCTCGGCCAGTTTGTCGCCAGGCCAGTGCCATTTATCAATCGGAAAATGCGTCCGGTTGTAGAGGAGGTGGATGACCAGGAGGAGTAGGGGTATGGTGGCCAAGGTGCTGAGAGAGAGAGAGAGAGAGAGAGAGTTGCTTATGCAAAGATTTACCAACGCTGACAATGGCCCCCCAATTGGCCAGAATGCATTTTCAAGATCATCGCCAGAGGCGCGATGCCAGTGGAAAATCCACCTTTCTAAATTGAACCAAATAGTTTCCATTATGGCCACAACGCCTGACGGCTGGCAAACCACTTTCCACATAGCAGGCGTCTGCGGAATACTTAGCCGCTGCTGGAAGACATTGAGTTGAGTTAGTGGACACTGGCTCAAGGAGCCGACAGTTGAGTGGACAGTGAGTGAACAGATAACTCAACATCCCGCCAAGACATAAGCGAAGTATTTAGGCTTTCAGATGGATTAGCCATAATAAACATGGCTGGCGTGGCAGTTGTGTTTCGCACTAAAGAGACATTAAGTGACCGTTTAAAATGGGGTTGTATCTTGGACCCCTTTTTGTAAAAAACTTATTGAATAATGTGTTCATTCCAATCGAATGGGGTAGAAGTCCGAATCCTTAAACAAAGTACAAAAATCGATCATTTAAGTTTAATAGAGATTTAATTTTTTCTGCATTATTTAATAGTCTAAAGTTGTATGCTGTAGCTTTTCTGTGGATAACTTTTTTAATTTTATAACAATAATCTCATTTGAATTTATCAGAGTTTTGATTTTAAGTGTTTTCTCTATAAATTAAATTATAAGTTTTTAAATATTTTTACCCAATATTACTTTTCATCTTTTCTAATAGGTCCAAGATCAAGGTGTGGATCCCAATTTGAGGGATGGCGATGGAGCCACACCCCTGCACTTTGCGGCCTCCCGGGGCCATCTGTCCGTAGTCCGTTGGCTGCTCAATCATGGAGCGAAATTGTCCCTGGATAAGTACGGCAAATCCCCAATTAACGATGCTGCAGAAAATCAGCAGGTTGAGGTGGGTTTTAAATCTGCACTTTTACATTTGAATACAACATATATTAATTTAATGTATAAAAAACCCTTTTTTATGCTGCAGTGCCTGAATGTCTTGGTTCAGCACGGCACTTCGGTGGATTACAATGGCAAGAGCAGCTCGCAGCGGCACAAGTCGCAGCAGCAACTACACCACCAGCAACATCAGCAGCAGCAGCAACACCAGCAACAGCAGCACCAGCAGCAGCAGCAACACCTGAGCAGCAGCTGCAACTCAAATTCAAATTCCTCGAAGCAAACCAGTCGCAGCAATACGATCAAGTCCAAGTCCTCCTCGACTTTGAGCTCCGATGTGGAGCCATTCTACTTGCATCCACCGGCCATCACAGGCGGAGCTGGAGGATCGGCAATGGGCCTGGGCATGGCCATGAGCATGGGCATGAGCATGGGCATGGGCATGGGAATCTCGAGGAAGAACAGCGATGCCCTCTACTCCCAGCAATCGAGGAGCTCTTCCGAGAAGTTATACAATGGTTCGTCCTCTTTGGGTGGAAATCCGGGAGTGACTAGTTCTTCGGGAGCAGGGGGAGTAGGAGGAGGAGGAGGTGGTGGTGCCCTGCTGCCCAACGATGGGTTGTATGTGAATCCCATGCGCAATGGAGGCATGTACAACACGCCTTCACCGAATGGCAGCATCTCCGGGGAATCCTTCTTCCTGCACGATCCGCAGGATATCATCTACAACCGCGTGAGGGATTTGTTTGTGGACTCCGACTGCAGCAGCAGTGTGAAGCAGCATGGCAAGAGCCATGGCCACGCCCACTCACACTCACACTCGCACCAGCTGATGCAGTCGAAGGCGGGCAATGCGATGACCATCCAGGCGGACGTGCACTCCAGCTCCAGTGGGGCGGGCAGTGGCTCCGACGAGTCGGTGTCCATCTCGTCCAGCTTCAACTCGCCGAAGCAGCAGCCGCAGCAGCTGCGCAGCCAGAGCTTCAATCGGCACGGCAGCAGCAGCAACATCAGCAACATAAGCAACATCAGCGCCAGCGGCAACATCAAGAACAACATCAACAACAACAACAACAACAACAACAATAGCAACAACTACAAGCCGCACAAGGGGCTGCCAAACAATCAGAATGGCGGCGGTGATCACGACTACGAGGACATCTATTTGGTGCGCGAGGAGTCGCGCAAGCAGCACCAGCAGCAGCACCAGTTGCAACAGCAGCAACAGCAACAGCAACAGCAGCAGCAACATCAGCTACAACACCAGGCCGTGCAGCAGCAGCAGCAGCAGCAGCAACAACACAAATACAACGTAGGACGCTCGCGATCGAGGGACAGTGGCTCCCATTCGCGTTCGGCCAGTGCCAGTTCCACCAGGAGCACGGACATTGTGCTGCAGTACAGCAATCATGTAAGAGTTGACCTACATTTTAATCTTGAACTAAAAATCAAAGTAGTTTGTATGATATATGAGACTAATGATTTGCATCCTTGCAGCATTTGAACAACAAGCGCAACATGAACAACAGCAGCAACATCATCAACAGCAGCAGCAACATCGCCCTGACCAACAACAATAATAACAGCCTGCTGAATCGCAATAAGTCGCATTCGATCATTGGTCTGCACAGCAGCAAGTACGACTCCTCGCTGAAGGACAACTACAGTGCGAAGAATGTGAATCTGAAGAATCAGCTGCTGAACGGCGGCATCAAGAGCGACACCTACGAGAGCGTCTGTCCGCCGGAGGATGTGGCCGAGCGGACCAAGCAGACGCACAAAAACTCCATGATCCGCAACAATCTGGCGGATGCCTCGACCATCAGCAACAACAACAACAACAACAGCAACAACAGCATCAGCGGCAGCAACAACAACATCAGCAACATGAGCAACATGAACGGCGGCAGTCAGAGCAGCAGGAATCTCAAGCGGGTCTCCTCGGCGCCGCCAATGCAAAATTTGGCTGTGGGTGAGTCTTGATAATAATGAATAATGATCCCTTAACTTTCACTACAATATAAGTACTATAAATAGTAAGTTGTTTCCCTTAGTAAAGTTGTTTTTTTTATAAATAATAATTTAATATATTTAAATCATATATATATATGTACTTTATACTGAAAGTCTATAAAATTATTTACACTCTTAAAAGTATCAATTCATTGAATTCTACTAAAAAGAGAGTTTAGAGAGTAATTTTCTTATTTTAAAAAAAATTGTTGAAGTTAAGAGTCTTATTATGCAAACACTTTTATTGCATACTTTTAGACATCAGACTCAATGTTTTAACAGTTTCTTTAAACGCAAAGAAAATATTTAAAATACTAATTTATAAGATAAGTCACCGATTTGTAAAGCTTTCTTATTAAAAAGCACCGTGTAAACCATTTTTTTTTAAATTTCCTGGAACTTGTATTTAATTTGAATTTATTTTTTATCTACAAAGTTAATGGACCACCTCCACCACCCTTGCCGCCACCGTTGAGGGCACCTGCTCAGCAGCAGCGCAATAATTTGAACGCCGAGCAGTCCAACAACATGAATGCCAACAATGGCATTTACAAGAAGAATGTCTTTGGACCGAATCAGGGTCCAGCCACCGCCGCTGCTCCTCCGCCAGTTCCGGCTCCCAATCCCGTAGTCGCCGATGCCGTTGACTCGGATTCCGGACTCGAGGTGGTCGAGGAGCCGAGCTTGAGGCCATCGGAACTGGTGCGCGGCAACCACAATCGCACCATGTCCACCATTTCGGGTAAGTCTTAAAGATTTAGTGAATATTGTACACTAATTGGGGTGCAATGGGGTGATGAAACCTCATAACTTATTGTAAACAAGATCTAAAATGTCTATTGAGAAGGGGCTGGTTGTTTTGTACTCATGTTCCTGTTTTCTAAAGGAAATTTCTTTCGATTTCGATACCCTGAGCAACAGATGAAAAAACTATCAGGTCTTGAAGGCTTCTCAACCCAAAAAAAAAAATCTTACGCTCGGCTTCCGAAAAAGTTTTTTAAATTTCCGGATCCCTCATCAAATTGGACTAGAGATATTTGATATTGAGTATCTTACAAAATTGGAGAAGTACCATGAGCAACGACAAACCGAGCCAGGCTATCAAAGAGCCAAATGATTTGATTAAGAAGAACACCTATATCATTTATAGCGCCGGCAATCCGACGCTCTTTCTGGACTCTTTAGATCCGAAAAATATGTGTGAAGAGGATCGCAAGCTTCTGGATTGTCATATCTGCAATGTGAAAGTGACTAAGCCAGATGCACCGATTTGGCCGGATCCTTCGATTGTTTTTTATGGAATGAGGGGAAACAATGCCCCGGAAGTGAAACCTCGAATAACCCATGTCTCCCGATTCCTGTCCCATCGTTGGAGTCACACTAGGACCATGGGCAGTCAACCCGTCAAGAAGCTGAGGAAATATTAATCAATTAAAACCGTTGACCAGGTCTTTGAACTTCGGCAATATCAATGGGGGTTCCGCATCGTCATTGGCCTGTGCCTTGTGTCCAGTGTCCAGGGTCCACTTGTCCGCCTTGATTGATCAATTAGGGGAAATTCGCCAGTCATGTTCAGCTTGAAGGGGGGATGGGAAAATGGTAGTGGAGTGTGTGCCCTGCAGTGGGAAAAGACAGAAACAAGTTGCCCGAGGAGAACCTGATCTTTCAGTGGTAGTTTTCAGACTGTCCATTCGGTGGGATAATGGTTACATCTTGATTGAAGTGTTGGCTCCCAAGCAGTGTGCGGTAATTGTTGTGTTAACAAATCATGTCATCAGTTGGCAAACCTAATAAGGAATTTAGTGTGCTTGGTTTAAGATGAGTTAACAAGGTAGTAACAAAAACTAAGCAAATCAAATTTTTTAATCAATTACTATTTCCAACACTTAAGACCTAAAGATACCATTGGTAATGATTAGTTAAAAATCCAAATAGTCGTTTTCCTCCTCGAATTGCAGACATTAAAACAATACCCCTCATTATCACACAATAAATATCGGGCCTTACTTAATTGCCGCAAAAGTCGTAACTACAGAAGCAAATACGAAAAAAAAATTGAAAAATGCGAATAATAGCTGCCATGTTTGACATGTGTTGGCTCCGATTTTCCATTTGTTAATTGCCCATTATGTCCAATGAGGCAGGATAAATGGAGAAAGGGGTAAAAGGGGGTGAAAGAGGCGGTCGGTGGAGAGAGGCTTTAATTGAGCCGACGTTCACACGATAAGGCGGCAAAGATCCGCGGAAAATGTGGCCAAAACAAAGAAGTGGAAGTCGGGATGCATGGTGGAAAAGTGGAAAAGTGAAAAAGTGGAAGTGCCAGCGATGAAAACAATCCCAGCCACTTGGCTGCCGTATAAAGCATAAGTCATGAGTTTTGAGCCACACTCGGCAAAATGATTTATGCACAATCTTATATATTTTCTTGCCTAGCTCAAAAGACAACAATAATAAAACAATAATTTTTTTGTAAGTCACATTTACTTGAAAAAGTAATTATGTTTGAGATGTTGTTAATATTGATTTCACTTTTACAATGTTTGTAACATTAACTTAATATAATATTCAGAAAAATGGAAAATCCATGTTCCAAAAAAATCCAGAGTATTATTTGACATCTCAGCGTGTATTATACTTCATAAAAAAATATTCTGAGAAAAGGTTTTGATGAGGTACATTTTTTGCTATAGAGTAAAGTACACATTTTCAAAAGTGTGGCATATCCCGCATTTTTTGTTCAAGTGTCTGAACCAACATTGTTGTCAATTGTCGTTGGGTTAGAGACCTTCGAAAGAAAATGCATATACCATATACACTGGACACATGGCATCCCTGATTTGCGATGAGGAAGCAATTTGCCAGCCACAAGCTGCGAGTGTTCCACACACACACAAATATTTGGCCACCATAATAATTGGCGACCGACGAACCACCACCCGCACCACCGCCCACATGTGCCACGCCCCCAGTGCTTGGCTAGCAATCGGCTCGTGGATCTGCGCAACTTTTACCCACGAAAGTGAACGTGTTTTTTGCGAGGCGCAGTGGTCTCACTCTCTTTTGGAGCCAATGCGATCCGATTCGATACGATCCGTCGTCGTCGTCGCCGTCGTCTTGGGTGAATAACTTTGGCGATGGCTTGAACCCAGTTCAGGCTGCCAACGGAGCTCGCCAAGGCAACATCGTCAAGTTTTCCCCGATTTTCCGCTTTTCCGGCCATCAATTCACGCGCTAGCCCAAAAACCCTTGAGAATGTGCTTGATTTGAATACGCAGTGGACAAAATGAATATGCTGGGCTCGGTCAAGATGCACAAGAATTCGCGTCGAAATTACTTCACGCTCAGCTTTCATCGGTTCGATATTTTTCGGTGTAAGTGATCCCCAAAAATGCTATATAATGATGGATATCAAAAGGCTATATCTTGTAAAGTGTTTTTATACTTAAGTGATAAACATCTATTGTGATGAATCTTATCTAATCCGATTCCAAACCTCAGTTTAGTACTGCAAATCCAATCCAATGAACTGTGATATTTGCCAGCATAAGTTACTAAGTTCTTATGCTGTGAGTGTTCTTCAGTTGGTACTTTTTCAACGATAGCATTAATATAATTAATATAAATGCAATGCAAATTTACTTATTTTTTTATTTAAATTCATTAAAAACAGTGATCAATTATTGTTCATTTTACTAAAGGTATAAAAAGTTATTTGCATATATATCTGAGTAATACTAATAAAATTCCTTTTCTTTCCTCATCATTATTCTTAAAGTCGGAAATTCTTCTTTCTTAAATCAAGAAAAAAAAAACACAAATATTGATTAATTTTGTTACTGAAACTCAATACAGTCCTTTTTAATTCTTTGCCCAGTTTGCAGTTGCAAAAATTGCTACAGCTAAAAATGTTGAGCTTTTGACTGTTATGATTAAGTAAATTACAAGTAAATGCTTAAAGCATCAGCAATTTGTTGAAAATCTTAAGCATAAGATTATCTTTAATCTTTTAATCTTTATCTTTTTAAATGAAAGACAATCTTAAGTTAAAAATTCAGTAAATTTTATTTTCTTTGAAAAAGCTTTAAAAACAATTTTTGGTTGCATTTTTAAAGGCCTGGTATCAGGCATTGCACTCGTAAAACAGCAAAAAAAACCGAACTGGACATCAACTCCATTTTCGAATTTCACCGCGGACTTGACAAGTGCAAACCGCTTTGCTCTGCACAAATTAATAGATAAAATGTGTGGGGACATGTGGAAAAATGTGCATTTCGTTCGCTCTTTTTTCTCCAGCAGTTCGAATAAATATAAATTCAATGCGAACAGGCTGGACTCGATTGCGAGTGGTTTGGCCATAAGAGTGCAGTCATGAATCGGCACCAGCCACCACGTAATGATCGCCGTGCAAACGGGTTACCACGAGGCCGTGAAAGTTGGGGACTCGGTGCGATCGGGTTTAGATGGGGTCTGGGTCTTGGTTTTGGCCAATTAACTGGCTGCCTGGAAATTGCATACGGGGTTTCCATGGAAACTGCGGCTAATTCAATTTTTATGTAGATACTCCCACGACAACGACGATGGTAATGGCAATGGCAATGGCAAGGGAGCTGTTCTTCCGTGTGTGGGGATAATCATTAAATTATCAAACTAATTTCCCAGGAAACTGCAAGCTTTCCATTCGATTTGAGCTAGATTGAGCGGAGCAATAAGGAAAATAATCTACATAATTTGTAACATAGATTAAAATATGAAATTGGAACAAATAAGTCTATGAAAATACTTTAAACTTGTTGATTATGTCTGGCACGAGGTTCGATCCAAAAATTGTATGGCCCCAATCAAAGGCACATTTGAATGCTTATCATTTGTAGACATTCCTAATCTCAGACACCCTTAAGTTGGCCCACTTATGTTCCCCATTATGGAACTTTTTGCTCTGCAGCTTTGTCTGGCCTGTCTAAATCAAATACATATCTGTAAGCAATTAGTAATCATATTTTAGCCCCAATTAACTTTAAAGTTTAGATTTATGTGGCTCTTCAGTTATTAAGGCTAAAAATGCTTATGTGTAAATATAAAAAAATAATTTTGTTTGAAGCATTTTTATTTTTAACAATTTTTAGCAACAAGACCATTTAAATACCAAAAGAATACATAATATAATATATATAAATTTTACATAAAATATGATGATACAAATTCGGTAATATAGTTTCACACTTGTAAGAGAGATTAAAATATTAATTATAAAATTGTTACATGACTCAATTAGACCAATTGTTTACCAGCAGAATATATATAATATCAAAACGAGCTCATAAAACTTTAACATAACAAATATAATTAAAATTTCCTTAATATATTTTCATACCGTAAATATTATATTAAATAGTTTTAGTATTGGTCATTTATTGACTCAGCTTCACTTAGTCACTGCCGTTAAACTACTGTCTAAATGAAAATTTATTTGATTTAGTTATGCCCATGCTCGTATTTCGTATGCAACTGGGGCTCCAACTCCTCCAAGTGCTCCGTCTGGTGAAAGGCGCCTACGCAGCGATCCATTGTGGTGGGGTTTTCGTATTTTCTATATTTTCTGTATTTTTCTGCATTTTCTGTTGCTCAGTTGCTGGCTGCTCAAGTTAGCATGACCAGAGTCAGACTGATAACTGCTAACCCACAAAACTTATAAATAAATTGGTTCAATTCCAGCGAACAAGAAAGCCAAGCTGCTCAATGCCAGCAGCACAAATGGAGTTAGTGCCGCCAGTCCGGAGGATTCCCGATCCGGCGGAGGTGTAAATGGCAATGGCACTGGAAGTGGCAGTGGCAATGGCAATGGAAATCTTACTGCTCCTGGAGCAACCAATAATAGCAATGCCCATTTTTATGGATATGCAGAGGGTGTTAAGGGTCAGAGGGGCAATGGAAATGCAAATGGAAATGGAAATGGAGGCTATCCCAATCAGCAGCCGCATTACCCGAGCAACCAGCATCATCAGTACACGCCCAGCTTGTATGGAGGTGGCTCCTCCGCCGAGGATCACTACGAGCTCACCCAGCAACAGCAGCAGATCTACGGGGAAACCCACTTGGCCGGTGGACAGCGGACGGGCGGACCCAATCTGGTCAACAAGCAGCTGGTGCTGCCGTTTGTGCCGCCCAGTTTTCCCAATAAATCACAAGACGGCGTCACGCATCTCATCAAGCCGTCCGAGTATCTCAAGAGCATCAGCATCGACAAGCGTTCGTGTCCATCCTCCGCCCGGTGAGTGGTTATCCCCCAAAATATCCCCTAGCCATCCTCCATAGGCCGTCCACCATCCTCCATCCCCTGACTTTCAATTAGCACATGGCAGCCGATTTAATTTGGCTGAACATCTCGTGCAGCTGCTTTTATAATTAGTATCGACGGTACAGTTGCCTCGCCTCAATTAGCCAAAATCCAACAGAAAATATAACATATAAAAAATAAGATACATGGCTGCAAAGACGCTTGGCTGCCGCTGGGCAATTAGCAGCTAGCAGATGGCTAGATCTCAGTGATGCCGCCTTTTAGCTACAACAAATTAACTGGCTTATTTCTAGTAACCAAATATTTTTTCATAATTTTTAAAACATTTTCTTTGGTACTTTTTTTTCAATTACTCTAATTCAGCAGCTAGTAGAAGGCTAGTGATGTCGGCTGTTTTAGATTATAGAAACACCAATGATTTTGACTCGAACTAAAAAAAACTGTTACCTCAATTTAAATAATAATTAGTAACTCTTCTCGTTTATTTAAAAAATAATTATTTTCTTGGTATATGAAATCCTTATAATTTAAAAATTATACAAAAAAGTAGAGGGTAGTTTTTCGTTACTATACTTTAGCTTTGTTTCTACAAGCAGTTCATTTATTAAATATAAAAATATATGTGGTGTAGGCATTCAAATTTTTTAAATTTATTTTTAAAATAGATTTAATTATCCGGAATTTTTCTTTGAGATACAAAACATGTTTGAAATGGAAAATCATTTATACTAAGCACAGAGTGGTAAACTAGCTAAATTGCCAGCAATTTTGCTGAGAGATTGGCCACTTCCTCTGCCGCTCAAGAGTGCATGAAATTTTATGCGTGCCACTTTGCGGCCTGCCACTTTTCTTGCCACAGTTGCGCAGTTGCAGCTGGCAGTGCAACTCAGTTGCAATCCGAAGATGATACTGCGCACACGCCACGCCTGGCGCAGGTCCGCCCACTGCTTACTGCTCACTAACCACTAGCCACTGTCCACTAGCCACCACCCACCACCCAATCATTAGCCATTTTGCAGTGAAAGTGGCCAAGATCAAGACATCAAGATCTCTCCCTAATTAGAAACCCAACTTCAATTCACAGCTCCACGGACACGGAGGACTACATGCAGATTCAGATCGCCCAGCAGCAGCAGCAGCAGGTGCACCATTCGCAGCTCCACTCGCAGCATCCGCAGTCGCATCCGCATCCGCACCACCCACATCCGCACCACCCCCATTCGCACCAGCTGCATGGAATGGGCGAGCAGCCGCCGCTGCCGCCTCCGCCGCCGCCCCTGCCCCACGGCATGCTGCCGCCGCAGCCGCCCATGATGGGTCCGCCGATGGGTGGGGCGGTCGGCCAGGATGTCACCATGTCCGGCAAGTCGCACAAGCCCAAGAAGCCGCACGGATCGGCGCCCAACAGCCAGGACACGGCCACCAGGAAGCAGCACCAGCCCCTCTCGGCCATCTCCATTCAGGATCTGAACAGCGTCCAGGTGAGCGATGATTCCAATCCCAACACCAATTCCAAAGCCAATCGATATTTAAAAATTATAAATTATGAACACCATAAGTGCAGTGTTTTCTAAACAATATATGTGCTTAACTATCAAGACTTAAAGTGCAATTTCCCAGCTTTTAACAAAATATATAATAATATATAATATAATATATAATAATATATAATATAATTATATAAATTACCTTTTTTAAACAAAGTATTCAAACAATGTTTTAACTTAAAACGATCGTCACTAAAAAATTAACACTTGCTTATCGAAACACTTTCAGTAATAATCTACCATCAAGACTTTTAAAGGCAGTTTGCCAGATTTATTAGAAGTAATATTATTAAAAAACTCTTCAAAATAATTAATAATAGTTAAAATAAAGCTGATTTTTGCTTAAACATTTATGTTTTGAATATATAATAAAAACAAATGCCTAACAAACCTGTAATAACTGAACAATATTTTTTAAGTGCTTAAATTTTTTATGCAAAATGTCTTATAATTTAAAAGTTATAAATACACAAGCACTTCTTACATTTTGTTAAAAAACTGTACAAATTCAGCCTTTTCCAGTAAACGAATACATAGTCCTTAGAAACTTTCAAGTGCATAGGATGTTTAACATTTTTCCTTAACCATTTAAGGCACTCAAATGAAACCAATAGAACGAACACCTAGGGCAGCCACTTACTTGATTTATTTATAATCAATAATTTATCACACACACCTAATCCAAACCCAATTGCGATCCCCTCCAGCTGCGCCGCACGGACACGCAAAAGGTGCCGAAGCCCTACCAGATGCCCGCTCGCAGCCTGAGCATGCAGTGCCTGACCTCCAGCACGGACACCTATCTCAAGTCCGACCTGATTGCCGAGCTGAAGATCTCCAAGGACATACCCGGCATCAAGAAGATGAAGGTGGAGCAGCAGATGGCCAGCCGGATGGACTCGGAGCACTACATGGAGATCACCAAGCAGTTTTCGGGCAACAACTACGTGGATCAGGTGAGTTTTGGTCATCGCATTAGTGCCCACAGGACGGTGGCTAAGAAGGCGAGTCAAAGATCTACTTGCAGATACCGGAACGGGACCAGGCCGGCAACGCCATACCCGACTGGAAGCGCCAGATGATGGCCAAGAAGGCGGCCGAGCGGGCCAAGAAGGACTTCGAGGAGCGCATGGCCCAGGAGGCGGAGTCGCGCCGCCTCTCCCAGATCCCCCAGTGGAAGCGGGATCTTCTGGCGCGGCGCGAGGAGACGGAGAACAAGCTGAAGTAAGTGGGTGTGCGTGCCGGCGGCTAGTGGGGAGTCTCCTGACCCCTGGCCTCAATTGTCTGACCTTCTTCTAGGGCGGCCATCTACACGCCCAAGGTGGAGGAGAACAACCGGGTGGCGGACACCTGGCGGCTGAAGAACCGCGCCATGTCCATCGACAACATCAACATCAATCTGGCCGGCATGGAGCAGCACTACCAGCAGATCCAGTTCCAGCAGCAGCAGCATCAGCAGCTCCAGCAGCAGCATCAGCAGCTCCAACAGCAACTCCACCAGTTGGGCAACAAGGAGAACCATAGCGATCTAAAAAGTGCTGATCAGGATCAGGAGCAGGCCGTCGGTGGCGTCCAGGAGCTTCTCGAATCCTCGGAGGGCAGTCAGGGACACGCCGAGGAGGAGGAGGACAACATCATTCCGTGGCGCGCCCAGTTGCGCAAGACCAACAGTCGCCTCAGCCTGATCTGAACACCACAACATCCAATCCAAATCCAGCCCATGACTCAACTTCTAAGCGGTGCATTTTTTTTTTTTTTTTTTTTTTTCGAATAAATTAAAGAATGTGCAATCATTAAAAGAAGATACCCTAAATATAAACCATTAAAATTAAGCCTAAGTTACTAGCTACTTACATTGTACTATATGCATTATCATAACCCCCTATTATTACGCCTAAATCGTACTCAACGTTTTGTTTTTTTTTTTTTTTTTTTTGTGGCAAAAAGAATATTGTTATTCCTAGGGGGGCAGAAAACCCGTATATATCTAATCTTTACCGCTGTCCTTGAGTTTTATTTCGGTGTTGTATTTTTATCACTTTTAATGTCTAACTATAATTGTACTTTTTTTTTGCGTGACTCGTCTTGAATTTATTAAGTAATGACATTAATTTAATTGTCTCGGCTAAGCATTTTTTTATTGTTATTTGTTTTTATATACGCGGCTCAAACAATATTATTATTAATTACATAAATACACAAATACATATTACATCTATGAATAAACAAGCGAACGAATGAATCAATAAATACATATATAATTTAAAAGGTTTCCATTTTTTTTCCTGGACATAGTTTAACTGCTCAAGTTGGTATTCATTGTTTTAAGCTTTGCATTTGTGAAAACCCCAGACCGAGAGACCCCGATACTTAAAAGGAAGAACGAACCATTGCTTTGCTCATAATCTCATATTTTATTGCCAACCTGTGGACACCCGCTTACGTCATGTGGGCGATGCAGGTGTTGATGTTGGGTACGAACGCGTTGCAGCCAGCGACCACGTCCTTGGTGGCCGAGACGTAGCAGGCGGCGGTTTTGGGGGGCAGGCGGCTGGCCTGCTTGATCACCACGTTCATGCTACGCACCATGGACATGGTGGCGCAGAAGGTCTTGAAGGTGCAGTGGAAGAAGTTCTTGGTGGAGGACACGGCGCCCCTGGTGGAGGTGGAGTTGCTGGCGCAGAGCTGGGACTTCAAGTTGATGATCTGGTTGCCGGTGCCGATCATCTTCTTGACAGTCGCCAACATGGCCTGGACGTCCTGGGGAATGGCGCCGGTGCAGGAAGTGACGGCGTCCACGTACCTGGTGCAGGTCAGCAGCACCTCGGCCACCTCCTCGACGATGCACTTGGTGCCGTTGATGCCCTTGAAGCCAGCCCACAAAACCTTACGGCAGCCGCTGACGAAGCCATGCTGCTCGACGTCCATGAAGTCGTTCTCCTGGTCCAGCATCTCCTCGGCGATCAGCTCCTCAAGCTCGACATCGGTGAAGGCCTCGAAGTCCTCGAAGTTTCCCACAGCATTGGCCTAAAAGGAAGTAAAGAAATTATTAGCTACTGGGGAGGAAATCGAACAAGAGATTGTAAAAAAGAATCACTTTTACGAAGAACATAATTTATAAAACATTTTTTTATCACCAGATTAAAAATAGTCTTTTAAAAATATATTTTTCTAACAGGTATCACAGCACTTAAGAAACAGTATACTTTTTAGAGACACAGAAGTATATATCATCCAATTGTTTTATTTAAAAAAAAAAAAAAAAAAAAAACCTTTGTTTATACCAACGTATTTGTGGGCTTTGTTTTTGTTACACTGTTTTTGGCTTTATCAACTGCTGGCTGCGTTTTTTTTTTATTTTTTAAGTGAGCAACCGACTGACTTACGTTGGCGGTGGTCAGGATGAAGCTGGCCGAGGCCACAACCAGAAGGCACAGGCTGATCACTTTCATGTTGCTGGTGGATGGTTTCACTGGCGAATGTTTGCTGATCGATCCGTGGGGTTGTTTTATATAGAAGATCCACGGGAGCCGTATCAGTGAAGTGGCGATTAGGCGATTCGGATGTTTTGATTTGCACAAATACTGTCGCAAGTGAATATGCCATGCGTTGGTGTGTAGGTTTAATTAACGCCACCCAAAGTCCGAAACTAATTTGGCATTATCTATGCAGCGTGAACGCCGAAGAAGAGATAGCCAAGGGGTCTTCTTTTAGTGGGTGGTGCCGATTCCGATAGCTCGAAGAGATCGCCCGCAGATAGGTACACATTCTCGATGCTGCACCTGCACAATCTCCGGTTGACTGTTGCTCCCATGAAAATCGGGATGTTTAATTTTAGAGTCGGCCATCAAAACAAAACCCTTGCAAAAGTCATCAATCTATGTTAACTGACAGCTGCTCAATATACACCCAGAGAAAAACCCCATAGTAAAATTAAACATTAAAATACTTTGAAGTAACATTGTTTTTCAAAATATAAACTTACTTAAAATTAAATAAAACCAATGATAATGTAATTTAATGATATATATTCTTTCTTTAAAATTTAAAACGTAAATTTTCTGTACTTAAAAATAAAAATGAAATAAGTACCGAAAATATTTAATTTAAAGTAAAAATATTTGATTTTACCATGATTTTTATCTAGATGTAATAAAATAAGATCTAACTCGGGATCTAAGATCTAAGATCTAACCTATGCCAATAACAAAGAAAACTTAATAGAATAAATTATGAAATAAATAAATGGCAATAAAATCCTGTAATTATGAAAATATTGTATAAGTTACGTTCATTAAGTCAGTGCTCTAAGTCAATATGATCATATCTATTTCACAATGTTGTTTTTGTCACACTTCAAATTTTATCAATTCTAAAGCGTGATTGCAGTTTATAGTAAGTTCATTCGCACTAAAAAACATTGAAAAAAAATACTCATAATAAACATTAATAGACTTCGATACTTTTTCTCATCAAAGTAAAAAACAATTAATTTGACAGATAAAATCTACTTTAAGTTTGCCATAAGTACGAAAAATCGGGGCTAATATACAGCCGATATCATTAATATAATATATAGACCGGGAATATATGTTGAAAAGGTAGGAATTTCCACTCATTTTTCAAGTCAAATCACTTATATATTTGATAAAGAACAAAGCAAACCTATGTTATGATACGGTAAGTTGTGATATGATATCTTGGGATTACCTATTTGATAACGTAACACTATTGTAAGTCTATTTTCATGTGTTCTTTAAATTTAGTTTAATTTAAGTCTGAAAAAATCATTATTTTCGATCCCGAATAGTCGCCAAATAATAAAAACCTAAAAGTTGTGTTGATCACAGATTTTTTATTGCATGCTTGAAGCGGTTGTGGGAGTGCGAATCGAACCCTTTAAGAGGTGAGCTGGGAGCAGGTGATCATGTTCTGGGGGAAGGCGGTGTAGTAGGTGGTCAGGGTGTTGACGGCATCGTTGACACAGACAGCAGCCTTCGGTCCGGTTTGAGGGATCTTCTTGGCCAGTTTGACGGCCTTGTCGATTTGCTTCTTCAGTGACCACACCTTGCGAAGGGTATTCACGAAGCAGCTATTGGTGATCTTGGGCTCCTCGCCCTCGGCCAGGACGCAAACGTTCGTCTTTAGATTGATGATGTCGTTGCAGGTGCTAATAATATTCAAATTGGCGTTAATCAGATTGGTCACCTCCTTGCTGGCGGTGGCGCCACAAAGGAGCACATTCCTGTTGAACAATTTGGCACTATCCTCGATGCCCGCCACCCACTTGAGGACGCAATTGAGTCCCTTGATGCTGCGCAAAGCGATCTTTAAGGCTTTGTAGATTTTATTTAGAAAGAAGAAGTCCTCCACAGCCACATCGCCATCGGTCAAGTCGATCAGGTCCGGCGAGGAGTCCTCCCTGGGATAGGGCACTACCAATGCATTTACCTGGAATTTAATTTTATAGTACATAGTTAGCACATACAACTAATGTTTATATTTTTAAGGAACTCACGCAAAGCAGGCACACGGCAAAGGCAAGAATGGTATACTTCATAATTTCGTTGTACTCAACTATTAGCAACCTCTGACAATGTGGGCCTTTTATATGGCTTGGATCCTTAACCCTCTATGTGTTGACTGGGGACCAAACTTTTTATAAAATAATTTTAGAGCTACTCCTATTTTCTTTAATTTTCTTATCACCTTTAATTGCAATCTAAGCACAATTTTACAAATTTCATTTTAATACTTTTTATATATTACCAATTTTAAAAAATCATTTCCCACATATTCAAAACGGGTTAAGACCAAATTCAACTTGAGCTAGTCACATTGACGCCCTGATAACGACACTAAGCCAATTGATCAATTGGACATCGAATATTCATTTATCACAATGTTTAAACAGCCTATGAAAGACACAGCCCTCTCTTATCAATAGATAACGATGGGTTTTTAAAGTCCATAACAATAGGTCGATTAATGGATATAATTTTTAAATTATATTGTTAGGCTGCAATTGTTACTGAAAAAGCTTAATCTTCAATTGAAAAACTACAATTCAATTTAAATTTGCCTACTTTTTGGCTTAATTAAAGCAAAATAGTATGGAAAGTACATACATATATGGTTCATACAAAAAATATTTTTATAGCAGAGGCACACATTTTAAAAGCGCATGTTTTTAAAGAATAAACGAAGTTTTTATAATAATATCTCTGTATTTGTTATATGTACAAGAATTAAATGTATACCAGAACGTTTTCTTGTTTGTCATAAAATAGTTTATCAAGTGATAGGCTAACTTGCAATGACACAATTCCATTCATTTCAATTGCAATCACCGGGTATTCGTTGCTGAGTTTATATTGTTTGCTCTGATTCTAGGCTTATCAGTAATATTGTCGCTGGACACCAGTACTGCGATTTGATTTCATTGCTTTTCCAATCGATTTGCTTTCCCACGTGAGGAGCGTCTTATCTGATAAGCCTCTCGATTAAATGGAGGGTCCGAATTGCCAAGAAAGTCCACTTTAGGGAAACCTTATCTCCTATGCGATTATTTCTAAGAAACGATGGTGTTATGAGAGTACATAAAATATAGGGTGAATCATCGGTAAAAGGCCTTTTTCTGATCTCATGTTGATGCCTATGATTTAACTTTATATGACCGGTCAAAGTTTCGGAAAACTTACACGACTGCGTTTTAAAAGAACAAATGCACGAAATAAAAAAAACGTAAGTATCAACAGAAAATGTTATTGTAAGTTTGATTAGAATATTACGATAATATATATAGATTTATTGGCTCACTAAAATAAAAATAAAGTGACTGCAATTAGGGGTATAAAAAATAATACAAAAACGAAAGCTTAACAGAAAATGTACCGACTTTAAAGTATTTACGCTATGAATGAATTTTTTACTCAGTATCTAAACTTAAAAATAAGTTACATTTTAACAAAGTTTGCAAGCAATGTTTTGCTTTTCACAAGCTAAACTTAAATTAGGCTTTTCCCATTAAAATTGAACTGAAACACATTTAATTTAAAATATTTTTTAGGTTTACTTTATTGTTTAATTTGTATTACGAATATAGTATTATTTCATCTTTTTCTCGTTTTGTTTTCTTTTTGGATTTATATGTCGCCTCATTGCACTAAAAAATGTTTGTTTCCCTCTCTTTCTGCGCCATGCTGGCGCTGCCTATTGCCACCTCGCTCTAACTCACTTAAACGCAAAATTATACAAATATGTAAAAAGAATATGTCGAACAAACACACGCGTTGGAAAAAAACATAAACAAAAGCGGCTTACAATTATTTGCAAAAAAAATATTTATTAAATACAAAATATTTACTCTGATTTTGTTTCGAACTCTTATTCTTTTGTTTCTGGATATTCCCGATCCCGATCTTTTTTCGTTATCTCCCCTTCAGGCATTTATGCAAAAATATATCGATTTATGTAAATATATGTTATGTATATAGGCGCATATCGTAATCGTATATAAATATATATGTATATATATTACAAAGTAAATTGTTTTCATTGTTTTCGTCGCAATAATATTATTACAATTCTCTCTTAATCTTGCGCGTAAGCTTTGTCGCTTGTTTTTTGTTTCTTTCGATTCTTAATTCTTGTTTTTTTTAGGATTTAAAGCGGAAAGAGCAAACCTCTATTTATAAAATAAGGTTACAGTTGTATAATTAAACAATTGTTAAACAAAACTAATAAAGAAACACCTCGCCGGGCTTGAAAACAGATGCGCGACACTCTAAAATCTGTTTGCTTAATTACAATATGGGGAAACGCATACTCAAGCATATAATATATATAAATATATATAATAAAAAAAATTACAAAAAGTAATCGAAATTAAAAAAAAAAAACACAAAAAATGTATTGGTAGCGCAGGAGGGAGGAAGTAATTAGTAATTAGCGAATACGACAAATTTACGTAGTGCCCACTGTTCTCATCCCTTTCAAAATTTCATCCCATTCTGTTATGCATAATTGAGTTGTGGCTATGGCGCCTAATTGCTGTTGTTGGCGGAGCTGTTGTGGTTGTTCTGGTCCACACTGTCCATGTTGGGCACGTAGTCGAGGGCCATCATGCAGGCGAAGACGGTCATCACCATCTTGGGCTTCACCTCGGTGATGTCCTCGGGCAGGGCGTAAACGCGGGCCCCGATCTTGCGGGCCATGGAGATGGCGTACTTGGCATTGGCCAGGTTATCCTGAAATAAATAATTAAAATAAAGTGTTAGTAAAGTTATTGATATTCCAAACTAAATGGCAGGATATTTTGCAGTTTAAATATTGCTTTACTTTACAATCTAAGTTGAATTGGAATGTGAAATCACAATTAAAAGTTTTTAAACATGTTAGGGAAACAAAGTTATTTTTTAGTTCCAATACAAAACATGTCTAGTTTTTAAATAGATGCCTCAAAACAAAATGCTAAATATACGTGACTTTAATGTTTTCTTTGTTTTATTTAACATATTAAGTCTTTTTAAATATTTTCGAATACTTTTGTTATGGTGTTGTTCAGCAATTAATCCATAATTTACAAAAACTCACCTCCTGTGTACCGCTAGTGCGCACCAACTCGTAGTTGATGCTGCCCTCCTTGATGGCGTCAATCAGATCGATCACGATCTTGCCATCGGCAATGGCCGGGTCGTTGAAGTTACGCAGATGCGACTGCTTGCCAGCCTCCGTCAGTCGGTTGTTCACCCACTGGACGATCTCCTTCTCGATGATGGGATTGCCAGTGTTGGCCAAGCGGGACAGAATGGAGAGGGTATAGGCGCGCATAAGCTGCCAGATGAGAGCTATTTATAAAGAAAGTAACAAACAATTAGTACCACATAATAGAATAACAAATTTGGAATGCAAAAAAACTGGGAATGTGATTTCAGTAGTAGGTTGTATAAATGCTTAAGCAAGATGACTGGCATCCAAGCATTTATTAAGTCTCATTCAAAGATTTTTATTTAATTTTAAAATTCAGTCTTTTATGCATATAACCCTTAAATGTTAAATGCCTACCCAACGTCAGCGTGGCATTGCCATCGTTAAGATCCTGGCCAGCGATTCCGACCAGCGAGAATTTCAGCTGCTTGCCCAGATCCACCGCGTAGTTGCAGTTCTCCAGCTTCTCCATGAACTTGCGCAGCGGGCTGAAGCGCTTGTGCACGCGGCTCCAGTTCACAATGCCCGGCTTGATGACGTCGAACAGCTGGAAGATGACGAGGCCATCGGCCAAATCGGAGTACAGCCAGTTCACATGCGGCGCCACGCCCATCGAGTTCATCCAGTTGCGGTAGGCTGGAAAAATAATCAAATTTAAAGTGAATTAACAGAATTAATTTATGAGTAATAAATATTTAAGATTCTTGACTCTATTTTTAAAAATATTATTTGGCGATTAAGTTTAAAAGAACTAAGAGTTCTAATTTATTTCATGATTTTTATATATTTTATATCTTCTCTAACAGTTTATCTAATTATACAAAAATTCTGTGATTTTTATAGCTTATACTTCCTGTGCAGAGCTCATTGATAAAATATTATCTTTATAATTACAAAAAGTGCTGTTTTTCTGCCACAAATTGGAGCCATGGTCGTTGATATGTGTATTTATTTAAAAATAAACTTTATTGCCTGTTTACTCTGGATCAATGCAATTGTGATTTTTGTTTCAAAGAAATGTTCGTTGCAATCTATTTTTTTTTATATATGAAAGAAAAATTAAATATTTTAAACAATTGTTATTATAATTTAGAATATTTAATATTTTGTAAAAGTATTAATGCTTTAAGAATCTGATTTTTAGACCTCACAATTCAAGTGCTTGAAAATTTAAGGGAAATATTCCCGATTATATATGTTAACAGCTACTTACTCTTCTCCTCGCGCGTCTCCTCGATTGACTCGAGTCCCTCGATCTGCTCGGGCTTATCCAATCCCGGATGGTTGTTGAATAGATTGGCCACGAAGGCCAGATTGAGTTTGTAGACGCCGTTGACGACATCCTGCGGCGTGAGGAAGCTGCGGCAGTTGAGCTTGGCCGCCTGCTGCAGCATGATCTCCGCCCGCGACTGCATGTCCGATTCCCGCAGAGCATCCAGATTGACATCCGCATCGTTGCCGGCGATCTGCTTGAGCAGATGCGAATAGATCTCGGAGTCGACGATGTCCGACTGGAAGTTGGTGCACCGCCTCGAGATGCCGGCCCGCTCCAAGTGGTGGTTGACCCAGCGCAGCAGGATGGCCTCCGGCGACATCTTCATCAGGTCCTCGAGACGCTCGTTGTCGAACAGCAGGCCAGCCAATCCGGGACAGCTGTCCAGCGTGATGTGGCTGAACAGGCCGATGCGGATGATCTGCCAGAGGAGACCCAGCACCAGATGCGGCTTGCCCTTAGCCAGATCGTGGGCATCGATGTTCACAATGTTGCAGCCAATCGCCTGCGAGGAGACCAGGGCCAGGGTCAGATTCTCGAACTCCCGGTAGACGGTGAGGTTCTTCTTGTTGATCGCCCGCTCGTCGATGGTGTCCGGGCAGGAGTGATTGATGATCTTG